TATATTTTATACACACACACACACACACACATATATATATATATATATATATATATATATATATATATATATATATGTTTAATAATTCATTCAAATAAATTAAACATTTTTAAATAGCAGCAATAATATTGTCACAAATTTTTTTGTTTAGTTCAGAATCGTGGGAGAACCATGATCTCTATTTGAGACAAAAAAAATCATGATACTCAATTTATCCAGAATCGTGCTGCTCTAAGCAGCAGTATGTCTTAAATACTCACAGCACCGTATTGCCGTATGCACTGGCAGCAGCAGCAATAATCTCCAACTACAGCTATAAGCAACAGCAGCAATTCAGCCGCGTAACAGATCTATTCCGCCAAGGCCAAATACATAAACATTGTCTTATCCTAAATGATAAAATCTTCTGAGAGTTGTCATAATAGAATTGACATGAAGAAATCTCCAGTGTTTACATCAGCCCTTTTCCTACTTTATTAAGTAATTTAATTGCTTAACTCCATTCATGAGCTGTAGATTTAATGTATATCTGTATATCAAATATAATTGGTTTACATTTGATATACAAAAAAAATCATTGATTGATTCATTCACATCGGTAAAAGAGTGAGTAAGCACAATCAAGAGTCAATAGGATATTGTGTACACAATTTAATCCACATACAATAAAATTCTTTGATAAAATTTTGCATATATATTTGGCACACTATTTTAAAAGGCACAACAGTTAGAACAAACCAATTGGGGAATAGCTTAAACTGTAGTTTTTGAGGTCTGACTATTAAAACCTGCTGCCCTTGATGCACCCCACAGCTATGCAGCCTCTGGCTGCTTGGAATGCAGTGAGAAAGAACAGCGATCTCCTGCCTCAGAGCCGTCTGAAACAACAACCCCATGTGAACCTCCCCAACCCCTGCCTCAAAGATCAGCAACTAGGAGATGCAGGTAATCCTCTGTCTCAAAATATACATGCATGCACTTAAACAAAACGAAAGGCAATGGCTGCAAGCCATAAAAAGAAAGAAAGAAAAAGAAAGAAAGAAAGAAAGAAAGAAAGAAAGAAAGAAAGAAAGAAAGAAAGAAAGAAAGAAAGAAAGAGAAAGTTAGCTGACATGCAATCACATAATCTATGAGAAGTGCTGTAATGAGAAAATTCCTCAGACATGTACACGCAAAAATATACACTGAAGAACCATTTACTCACAATGATGCCAAGCAAATGCAAAGGTGCACACTGACCTACAACTCTCAGGCACAACTACCTTCTCTAACGTCTCTCTCTGTCTGTCTGCCTCACACAAACCCACACAGACCAGGGAAGTCTCGTGTGTGTCAGCTTCACTGTCTAGTGCTGCCACTGCAGCTTGTCTCTGTGTGCGGCCCCTCCCAAAGCCGCCACGCTGTGGGAGAAAAAGAGAGCGTAAAAAAAAGTGGGCGGGCGACCAAGCCTGTGCTCAATGCAGCACTCCATATGAACTCAATGGCCTCGCAGATGGTCACGTGGCACGAATAAAGCGAAAGAGTGAGAGACAGAGGCCCCTGAGGCCACCCACCTCATTCAAAATTTCAGCTTTTTCTCGTGGCTCAGTGACAGGAAGAAAAGGAGGAAAAGGCATCAGTCACCTAGTTTTTTAGCAGCGGCCAGTGCCTTGTTATGCTTATAGGTATATTTCATAACTGCATGCGTATAGAACTAAGTTTGCATTTTTAATTGCATGCCAGCTCCTAGTATGCCTAGTAAGGTTGTCTTTTTTGTTTGCTTAAGTTATATATATATATATATATATATATATATATATATATATATATATATATATATATATATATATATATATATATATATATATTAGTATACACAGGTCCAAAGATCATAAAGATTTTTAAAGATGTTTTTGAAATAAATCTGCTCAGGTTGCAATTATTTAAACAAAAATACAGTAGAAACAGTAATATTGTGATATATTCCTACAATTTAAAATAACGATTTTCTCTTTTATTATATTTGAAAATTTACTGTAATTTATTCCTGTAATGGCAAAGCTGATGTCATTTTCAGCAGTCATTATTCCAAGTCTTCAGTGTCACATGATCAGTATCACACAATATTGCTGTTACTGTATCACTGTATTGATCAAACAAATGTGGCCTTGGTGAGCATATAAGACGTCTTTCAAAAAACATGAAAAATTAATTATTCCAAACTTTAACCAATAGTGAATATTAGTAGCATAGTGTTAACAAATACATAAATTGTTATCTTTTACATAATTTTTTTTAAATACATAAATGTTGCTCACATCAGTTCACATGTACAATTAATTTAGGATAATTGGTTTGTAAATAAATAAGGGATTATTTACAAGGCAGAGTAAGATAATTTCCAAATACAGAATTCAAAATTTCCAAACAGAAATTAAAATTATTCTGGGTAAGACAACATGGTCTTGAATTACTGCTTTTAGAGGGCTGTTTGTTTTTATGTTCAGTTCCTTAGCAACCACTCCTATACCCCTGGTTGAGAATGGACCACCTTGAGAGAGCCGCCAGGTTTTTCAGCTTGAGGACGAGGTGGTTTTCTTTTAGGACATGATTGCTCTCAGCAGCTAAACAGCATTTGGGTAGTGGGCTTTGACTAGTAGGCTACACTGTTAAGTGAAATGTAAAAAAAATTCTTAGCGGATTAAATGTTAATTCGATGTAAGAAAAGACATGAGGCATCTCCGAATTACTAAATCTATTAATCTAAATACACTGAAAAATAATGATATTCATTAAAAAAGCAATCCCTCTCATTTTCTTATTAAATAAGTAAATACAATTTAAATAAATCCACAACATTAATCAATCAATCCACAGGGCTAGCTGGTTTTGCTAGACAATTGTAGATTTAATGTCAAGCATTTTTGGCATTTTTTCCTACATTCTAAACATCTTTTCCAACTTGACAGAGAACATTGACACTAAACTACCTTAGTTGACCACCAGATTGCACAAACGTACACCAGACACAAAATAGCCTACAGAACTGTTCATAAAAAAATAAATAAACAAAAAAAATAAAAACCTGCATTATGAGCTGTAACCTTGTTGTATGAGTTCTATTATCATTTATTTATATATGGTCTAAGTCTGTATTCATGTTTGAAGCTGTTAATAAAAAATAACAATTGGTCCCTCGATATCTCTTTGCCGCCTTGAAATCTTCTCAGTCTCCTAAAGTGTAAATACGGCCGGGAAGCAAGAAAACACACATTCAAATGTATTCTCAATACTTCAATTTATTCATAGAAATACAGATATTATATAGGCATATGTCGAGGGGAGTTTCACCCTCTTAACCAATGAGGATATGAATAACATACACATATAGGATCTTTGGCCAAGAACATGTGTTTATATAAAATGGCCACATGTACAGAAAAACATGGACATATTAGGAATAGACTTTTAGCGAAGAATGCTGAACTGTCTTCAGAGTTCCTCACAAACTCCTTTACCTCGTAGTCCTAGCATTCATCTCCTTATTTGGGCATTTGAACCAAGCAACTAATGTATACCTTTGCGCATGCATACCTCGCACATGAGTAAGAGATATTTAAAACATAATACAAGAGAGAGAAATGGATACAGGAGGGGGGATTCAGAGAGAATGCGTTGTATAGAGAAGAGTGAGAGAGAGGGAGAAAAAGGAAAGGAGAGAGGGGAAAAAAGGAGGGGGGAGGCATGTCAACAGAAAGACAGAGAGTGTGTTCTAACAGTTGCCTGCTTTTGTTTAAAATAAACAATGAATACATAAACACTCGCTGCAGAGTTCCCACACACTCCACCCTTCGAGGCTGTCAGTTGGTCTAAAACCAATCTATTTTGTAGAGCAGTCAGTCGCAAACCTCTGAGCTCTTCCTTTACAGCTTCTAAGGTATTTCGCGTAGTATTCATAAATAGAAGTAGCTCATAACGAATAAATTCTGTTTCAATTTGAAGATGGGCCACACCAACCTGTGGGAAAATAGATTCAAAAAACTTTTTACAGTACCAGTCCATAATCGATGTTCCCACGGTACTGGAATGTCTCTTGATACCGTAAGAACTTTATTTCGATCAGCAAGAGAAC